GGAAACTAGTACTGTTTCACTTGCTTTGTAAAATTACATAACTGTGTTTGTGATAGAGGAAGGAAACGCGTAAAACATGCGAGCACTACGTGCCCGAGTCTCGAGCTCAAGTAAACATGGCCAAAGTTGACTTTCGCTTGCAGGAAACGAGAGTTAACTTTAACTAACACTTGTAGGAAATTCAGGCTGATAATTAGTTGATACCACAGTCCTGGGTACACTGTGTCCACGAGGCAGTGAAGACGTACTACATATATTCTCTTCTCTTCTTCTACTTCTCTGTGCTTTGCTACCACTTGCAGCGTCATGCCGTTTATAAGTTTAACCATTGCATGCTCTCCTTAGATGGGCCGAAAGTCCTGCAGAGGTCAATGGATATTATAGTCCACAGCAAAACCGAATAGGTGGGTTAATTTTCATAATTAAACATGACGTTTTTTGGAAACTGGCCGCTGTACTGCAAATAAAGGGAATAAACATCAAAGAAATAACATTCGGTCTACAAGACAAATTTTCTTTTTGTTCCTCAAAAATTATTGCCAAATTTTAAAAAGGTTTTGAAAATTTACCTCTTTACAAATTGTTCAGCTAGATGATGCATCACGGCAAACGTCTATAGCTAATTACTAACAATTTGTTGGTAAATCTATATAATTGTAGTTATTTGGTCTTATTATTGTTTTTTTCTTCGCAGTATTTTTGGCTGGAATCCTGCAATCTCCGTTTTACAGAAAAGGTTACCCAAAGTAAGTAATAATGAAAACGTTCACTGGGATTCTAAGAAAGACTGGTGTGGGGTCAAGAGATACACGAACTATTTTCCTTCCTCTTTCCTCTCTCGTCGGGTTAGTAACACGACAAACATAGCCATGTTAATGTTATTTACGCGATCAGTAACCTTGTTAACTTAAGACGTGAAACTATTTTTGAAACTGATCTAAAAAGGTGTTCTGAGGTGTTATGCTGAGGTCCTATGATCTAGAGATCAGAACACTTTTTTTTAATCAGTTTCAAAAATAGTTTCTAATTTAAACGTTATTAAATTTGAAAACAAATTCAGGCTGTCATATTCGACCTTCCCTATCACTGCTTGCCACTCATTAAGACCCGTTCTTACACAATCAAAGTTGCCTGGAGTATAAGAAGTTACCTCAATAAAACTCATTGTGCGATGCTGTCCTTCTAGATATCTCAACTATGGATCATTGGCAATGGTTATTGGACACGAAATTACTCACGGATTTGACAGCACAGGTAGTTATGGCTATATATAATGTATGTCAATTAATTTGATCAGTAATTGGT